TTTTTTCTCCTCGTTTTTTTTTTTACTTTTTTCTGCAAAAAGTGAGAAAAAGAAAGAAAATTTCCCTCACTCACAAAAATGGAATTGAAACGAATCAGAAAAAAAAAAAGAGAAAGAAAATGCAGAGGAACATATTGAAACCAAATTCGAACACAGTGCAGAATTGTGTAATGCGAATGATTAACTGAAAGGATAAATAGAAGAATGGGGGAAATTTTCTACAAATGCTGCACAACATCTCAAGAAATCAAAACAAAGTACAATGCTTATCTGCCTCAAAACAAACCAAACCAATAAATACATCCAAATCAATTCAATTTCACAAGCAAAGAATTACAATGTCAAATGATACAGGGCAAAGAATCAATTTATATAATTCGCAGCACTTTCACAAACAGCGACAAACTTCTCAACAAAGCAAACCACAAACGAAGCTATTAAAAAACCATCTCACAAACTCCACTAGGATGCACCTCGACTCAAAAGAGCTCTATCCAGTCTTGTCTCAAAAGGCGTAGAGTGCCAATTAACTCTCTTATCCTGCATAATTATAGCAACCACGTACACACTAAAGAAAATAAAAGAAAAAATTCTGAAACAGTCACAAAGCAAAGGAGAACAGACAAATCATCGACCACTTTCTCATTTCAAAAGTACCTCTCTGTACTTGCTGGTCGTGTTCGGTATTCCCTTAAAAGATGACGAGTCAGAATGCTTTTTCGAACTCGAGTCATTCCAGTATGTCCCGACACTCCCTATAATCGGCATCTCATCAGGGCTTCGACTAGGAGACTTTCGTGGAGAGTTAGTTGCTGAAATCTGTCTCAACTCCTCAACCGTCAGTGCACCTAAAATCGGTCGATCCTCAAAGCTCCTGACAGAAATACTCCCTTCAGATGCATTTTTCTCGAAAACATTTGTCTCAAAACCACCAAAATTACTGGTTTTGGGTGGCGTGACTTCAGGCGAAGAAAGCCAGTTCGAGAGACTCGCGTCCACCGCCACTTCTCCATTTTTCCTCGACTGATTGGTTTTCTTCTTGATAATTGGTTCCGAGCTTAAAGACAGACGAGGTGGATCGAGATTACCAGCAGCAGTCAAATTCTCCTTCTGAGGTCTCAAGAGATTCTTCTTCCCTTTTGACTTCACAGCTTTCCACTGAGTAATATTTTCCACGGGGCTCAGCACCGAATTAAGATAATCACTTCTATCCCGGGCATTGCCTTTTGACCCTTCACCAAGCACAATAGGACTACTCTCTACTTCTTCTTCTTCATCATCATCAGCAGCTTGTGAAAAGGGGTTTTTCCCTGTCCTGGACTCAACTGATTCTGTAATATATGGTTCAGAGCAAATGTCATGGCCGGGAATTTTGGCATCAATTTCCTCATCATATTCATCATAATCGTCTTCTTCATCATACTCGTCATCCAAGTCATCATCACTCTCATCCAAGTCATCATCACTGTCCCTTGCATTGTGGTACCTGTGATTGGGAGGGTATGATGCCACGCTGGACGTGATGGAATTATCATCTGATGATATCGAATTTGATTGGCTTGATGTTTTCGAGCGTTCATGTTCTTTCTCATTCTCGACATTTTTAGAGCACTCGGGCAGAGACTCGATGCTGTCGTGGACTAGGATGTGCTTGTATGTCGTGATATTCGAGTTAAATGTAACTTTTTTCTTAGGGCTACGACTCGGGCTCGGGCTCGGGCTCGTTTGCTCCACTGCTTCAGGTGTAGTTCTACACCAGAATTTTTATGGAAGCAAAGTTCTATTAGAAAGAAACTACAGAGAAATTTGGAAACAGTATTCTCAGTTCAGAACACAAAATCTGTTAGAAACATCTAAAAAGGTATGGCAATATGAATTTTAACCTTCTCATGTTATGGGGAAAGTTTCAATCCAAAGAGTTCAATTAATATAGAAGTGAGGGCTTACTGCAACTCAGGAACCGAGTTTGTGACAGCAATCGTCTCTTTCAATGGTTGTTCTGATACTGTAATTGTCTCTTTGGTTGACTGTTCAGATATGGTGATTGTCTCCTTTAATGGCTGTTTAGATATGACTGTTTTCTCATGGTGAACATTCTGAACTTGGTTTCTCTGTCACGAGAATTTTGATAATTCAGTTCAGCACATGGTAAAATATACATAGATTAAAAGAAAAATGCATAGTGTTGAAAAGGTGAACAGGCTTTATCATCACTGATGCCAAATATTGAAATAAATAAGCTGTGGCAAATCTGATATAGCTCATTAAACCAAATAAAAGCACCTTCTGCAGAGTGGTTTAGAAAAATGGGGAAAAAATTAAGAACGAAAAACAAACAGAACAGAATTGTTGTTCATCAGGTTACCATAAAGAGAATCAACTTACTAATGCACACACAATCGACCTAATCGAACGTAAACTACTCATCAAATTATCACAAAATGCAGAAAAGCAAAAAGGAGAAGGAAAGGAAATCATCCTAGAACGATCCAAAAACTCACCGCTAACAAGTTACCGTCACAATGAAACACGCACATACACATACACACACACACACAACAATCAAATGAACTGACAAAACAAACAAACCAAAACTGGCAGCCATAAAAGCGAATCGAAGCTAAGAACAGAATCTTTACTTGACGCTGGGGGCTGCCCCGATTAACCCTCTGTCTCCGGCGTCTCTGATCCTTCGCGCCGCCAAAACATCCAAGAAAACAACCCATTATCGGAGAAGAAAATCCCGAATATTTTTTTTCTTTGTATTCAGAGAATTGCTTTAGGGTTCGAATGATTAACAGAGTTTATGCACTAGTGAGCGCCTCCATCTCTTCTTTCCTCGGGCAGAAAAAGGGGAGAGAGGAGAGAGAGTGGGACCTGGGAGAGAGAAGGGGTACAGAAAAAGGAAGCCTGAAACGGTCGATTTTGGGGTTTTTGGTGGGGTTGGGTTTTGTTTTCTCTTCTGTGCATTTATTTTTTGAAAAGCAGGTGACCGTTATAGTTTGGCAATTGATGGACATTGGGCAATCACTTATCACAGGTTGGATTATTGATTTTTATTATTTATTTATTTTTGGGGTAATTCTATCCTCCTTTAATTCTCTACTCAAGGCAAGGGCAATTTTTTCAGATTATTATCGTTGTTGGATAGCTTTCAGCCTTTTCACTTCACATCTATGGAACAAAAATATTCTCTACATATAATTCTCGAATATATTGAGCTTAAGTGTCAGACTCGTGTACTTCAGAATTCTATTTGTGATAATTCTATACTTTAAGTTAATACATGATTAGGCTCGGGTGTCATGTCAAATGTCAATTAAAACGGTTATTTCTATGATATATTAAATATTTTCGTTCACGAAAACAATCATTATTAATTTCATTCCATATTTTTCTTCCATTATTACTTTATCATTTTCGTTTTGTTTTATTTTTTCTATTACATATCTTCTCTAAATCAATCATTCTCTATATATATAATTCCAAAATGCGTTGAGCCTAAATGGCAGGCTCGCACGCGCGTGATTTTATGTGACAAAATTTTATGTTTTGTCATTTAGCTTGGATGAACTTTCATTTATTTCCAATCCAAAAAGAACTAGGCTTGAAATATCCATATATATACTGGATATTTATGAACATTTTTAAGAGCATTAATTATGTTTTAATATTATTTTCTATTCCAGACGTAGTTTATAAAGCATAATTTTTTTTTCCACTCCTTCTTTTTTCTTATCTTTCTTTTATAATTATGAAAAAATTACTAACATAAATTATAAATACATTTAAAAGCTAATAATCTTTTATTTATTATTATATTTTTATATAATATATGAGATTAATCATGTATTGATGAAATTCGATTCGACATCTATATTATCTTTATAATAAAAATTAAATTATATATACTTAAATTAAATATATACCTAAATATATAAAAATTATATATATATTTATATATATATACTTAAATATATTTATCTTTAAAAATTATATATATATATAATAGTTGAAAAAAATACTTAAATTAATTTAAATACAAATTAGTTATGTGTTGTAAGTAAAAAAATTATTATAATGTAAGATGTTAAGTCGTGTAAGTGACGAATATCATTTTAAATATAAATAAAAATATAGTTTTTAATTTTTTTATTTCAATTTTTAATATAAATTATTAACAAGCACCAGTGTACTAGTAACATATCATTAAAACTATATCATATCATTAAAACTATAATAATCAAACAAGCCTGTCAGTTATGTAAGATGTATTCTTGTAATTTAGGCTAGGTTTAGGCCCAACCTATGGTTAATGCCCATCTATATATCTATACATATGTGTACATGTCTTTGTGAATATACATCAGATAATTTTCCCTCATTCTTACATGGAATCAGAGTAGGTCTGACTAAGGCTGCAACGAGTCGAGCGGCTCACGAGCTACTCGCGAGCGCTCGAGTCAAAGCTCGACTCGAGTTCGAGTTTGACCGAACTCGAGTCGAGCTCGAGCCCATATTTTAATATATGTATCGGCTCAATATATATATTAAATTACTAAAATACCTTTTATATATATATATATATATATATTTAAATAGTATAACACAAGTGCTTAATGGTAATTTTACTTAAAAATTTTCGAGCCGAGCTCGAGCATGTGATTTCGAGTCGAGCTCGAGCCGAACTCAAGCTATTGTATTTTCTTATCGAGTCGAGCTCGGGCCTCATAAATCGAGCTCGAGCAGCTAAAAAAAATTCAATCCTGCTCGATAAGGTAAGTGCTCGACTCGGTTCGACTCGTTTAGAGCCCTAGGTCTGACCTAAGACTTGCGATGACTTACTCTTTATCGGTCTGCACTGTGAGCTTGGATTTCGCATGAAGAATTCACAAGTGAGGAACATATTAGAATATACTTGTAAATTATCCTACATTGATTCTAGAGGAAAAACGAGTCTAACTTATAAGCTTAATGGGTTACTTCTCCCATAACCAACTAGTTGGGATGAAACTTCACTGAGGTGCACCTAGCTCCCCCTTTCATGGTGCGCTTTACGTGTATAGGACCACACCCGTTTACTTCCTAGAAAACTCAAGTTGATCTCCACTATACCACCTTGAGTTTGAGAGGGTGGTAGTTATGTAAAGTGTATTCTTGTATTGTAGGCTAGGTTTAGGCCCAACCTACGATTAAGACACATCTATGTATCTATATATATGTGTATATGTCTTTGTGAATATACATCAGATAATTTTCCCTTATTCTTACAAAGCCAAATATAACATCAAAAAATTGTTAAATGGAAACCAATAACATATCATTAAAAATATAATCATCAAACAACCCAAATACAACATCAAACAAGTATTAATTAAATTGAAAACAAAGTACAAAACAAAGTACAATAGAAGGGAAATTCAAAGTTCATACGAATTCATGCAAATTAATTAATTAAATTTTTTTACTTCAGACGCCTGCAGAGTAACAACATATAGAGGCCATATTAGTCTTTTACATTAAAAAGTGTATTTTCATCTATTTAGCACTTAGTTATCTCTGTACAATAGCAACTTTAGTAGACATCACATAGTATATATATCACATGTAAACCCTATTACCGATTCATTCGTTCGTTTTCCAACTCAGACGTTTCTTTCTCTTTTCTCTCTCTACTGTTCTTTCTTCTTTTTGTTCCCGATTTATCATATTGACATGGTATCATTCGCCGGTTTGTGATATGATTCTCGATCTTATTCCGCTGCTGTTCGTTGATTTTATCGATTGTTCGATTGCGTGTTTTGGATCGGTTTGGCGACATTTCAGATCTGTGATCTACGCATTTTCTTTGATCCGTATTCACTTCTTCAGATCTATTTTCGATGACGACGCCACAAGCATCTACGACGTCAAATCCTTCTGACGATCCGACTTCGCCGTTTTATCTCCACGCCTCAGACAATCCAGGAGCTTTGATTGTGGCTGAGTGATAAGTCGAAAAATGTGCATGTTTTATATATTTAACAGTGTATTTTTATACGCTTAATTTATTCGCACGTTTATATTTTTCGACTTATTTATTATTTGGATGAATTGATGTACTTTGATATTTAATTATTTATTTTCAGCAATTTGCAGAATATTCGAAAATGTCAATGAATAGGAACCGTGATGTTGAATAATCGGCCCGGGTGAGAAGGATTTGGGCCCAAAATAAAGTGAAAATATTTGGGCCCAAAGAAATAAAAACACACGCAGGCATAGGCATCAATATTTGGCTGGAAGGATTTATGTGAAGACTTGGGCCATTCATAAGCATTGGCAATTAATTGATTGAAGAATCCAAAAGTAAAAAACTCATAAAAATTGAGGAGGAGATTTATTTTTTCTTGGAGAGTACGCCAAGCAGCAGGCATTATTTTTGTAGACGGAAGAAAAAAAAGCCGGAGGAGAGAGCCGGGAGCAGAAAAGAAAAGCGAACTCGCGGACAGAAAAGAAAATACGCACGGACTGGAAAAAGCACCTTTACACGCGGAGGGAAGCCGCACCCGCACACGAGGGAGATATTTTTATCTTCTCTCTTTTATTATTTATTATTTATTTTTATTAGTATGTTAGGTTAGTATTTTCATCCAGTTTGAGGGGATGTTTGAACCCTAATTCTGATTTGTCTATGAATTGGATGATCTTTATTTATTGTTGATTAATCTAGACGACGTATTTATTTTGTTGATGAGTTTCATGCTATCTATGTTTAACGTTTATGAATTATGGTGTTTGATTTAGTTTGGCCAGCTAGGTTGAATATTCATAGTTTAATTGCTAGATTCGAGACTTTAATCCGTAATTGTTATTGTTTCGTTTCGTTAGTAGTAAACTAGGGGTCGTGCATCTCTAGGGTAGCATAAACATAGGTTAAATGGTCCGAGCTTTTGTGTCCGTTGCTTAGACTGATCTATTTTCCTAGGAATTAATGCTGCTAGTGTATTAAATCTAGAGAGCTTATTCTAGGTTGTCCGCTAGTTAGGTTTAGTCGAAGAACTTATTTCGATTAAATATTCGGTAAGGGAAAATTCGGTTAACAGAGCTTGTTGTTAGCTAGGGTCGGTAATTCATTAGCAATTTAAAGAAAGCGTCGAAATTAATTAACGGTAGATTGAGATTGGGTGATAACTGAACCGAAAGCTGGACTTCTCTCATTTTATTTAATTTTTATTTTTATTTTTATTAAACCAGTCCCCCCACCTTTATTGCTTTCCTAGTTTAATTCAATTAATACGAGATTGTCACAATTTAATTCATGCTCCTCGTGGGATCGACCCTTACTCGCCACTACTACTAGTTAGTAGAGGTTAGTTGAGGAAAAATTATAAATTTAAATTTGCCGTGTTGCGACGCGCGGTCACTGAGCAGTTCACCGGGGATAACTACGTTTCTTGGTCGAGAGCCGTCTCCATGGCGTTGAGCGTAAAAAACAAGCTCGGATTCGTTGACGGTTCCATCACTGCCCCAAATCCGGTACAAAATCCTATTCAGTCTTTATCTTGGATTCGGGCAAACAATCTGGTACTATCTTGGCTTCTCAATTCTGTTCATAAGGATATTCGACAATCTTTGCTTTTCTTTTCAATTGCACGAGATGTATGGGAAGAAATTTGCTCTCGTTATGCTTTATCCAGTGGTCCTAGGGTTTTCCAATTGGAAAAATCTCTCAGTACAATTGACCAGGCTAGTTTAACAATCACTCAGTACTATAATGCTTTCAAAACTCTTTGGGATGAGTATATCACGTATAGACCAATTTTCAAGTGTGTTTGTGGAGCCTTTGCTAACTGTACCTGTAATATTTTTGAAGCTATGACAAATGCTCAACAACAGGACTCTGTTATGAAATTTTTAATAGGACTGAATGATTCTTATTCTTCCTTGAGGAGTCATTTTTTGCTTTCTAGTCCTTTGCCTTCCCTTACCAAAGTCTATTCCCTGTTACTTCAGGAAGAGAGTCAAAGAACCTTGACAAACACCACTAAACATTTTGAACCACTTGCCATGATAGCCAAAACATCTTCTCATCCTCCTGCCTATAACAAACCTAAACAACCTTTTAACAAAGACAAACCTAAACCTAAATGTTCTCACTGTGGTCGCCTGGGTCATACTACTGAGAGATGTTATCAACTAGTTGGTTACCTGGCCAATTGGATTGGTCCAAAGGGACCTAGATCAAACTCATCTGCTCATGCTGCTATATCTGAGAATCAACATGCGAATGAGGCTGATAATTCCATTACTAACAGTTTGTTTACTGAGTTTTTGGCTTTTAAGAAATCACAGGAGTCAACTCAACAAGTTTCTTCTACTCCTGTGGTTGCAACTGCATTTACTGAGCATTCAGGTATACCTACACCCTTATCATGCTTAGCTTCCAAGTCTTTATCTCATTACACTTGGATACTTGACATAGGAGCTACTGATCATATGATTTGCTCTCTTGATTTATATTCTAGTCCTGCCTCTCATATTAATACTAGAATAAATCTTCCAAATGGCAATCATACTAATGCTCATAGTATTGGAACTGTTATTTTATCTGATTCTCTAGTGTTACATGATGCATTGTATGTTCCATCATTTTCCTTTAATCTGGTTTCTGTTTCAAAGTTGGTTGCATCAAATAATTGTATTGTCAAATTCTTGTAATCTTCTTGCATATTACAGGACCTGACAAGTCACAAAATGATTGGTTTTGCTGACCTCAAAGATGGATTATATCATCTTAAGACTGACAATAAACCATCTGTTTTAACAGCACCTGTAACCAATCATGTCTCTGTTCCTCATGATCATGCTGTTGATAATACCTCTGTAAATGCTGATGATGTAATTTTTCCTTTACCTGTAAATGTTTTAAAGACTGATAATCTCATATGGCATCATAGACTTGGACATCTGTCAAATTCTAAATTGCTCACCTTACCTCTCAATGCAAATAAAAGTGCAAATACTATTCCATGTGATGTTTGCCACTTTTCTAGGCAGAAAAGTCTTCCTTTCTCTGATAGCACTTCAATTTCTGATTATCCTTTTCAACTCATACACTGTGATGTTTGGGGACTTTTTTTCAGTTCCTTCTCATTTAGGTTATAAATATTTTCTAACATTTGTTGATGATTTTAGTAGGGTCACATGGATTTACCCTCTCACTCACAAATCAGACACCAACAATTGCTTAAACAATTTTTATAACATGGTGCTAACTCAGTTTGAAAGGAAAATCAAAACCATAAGAACAGACAATGGTTCTGAATTCATTTTACATGACTTTTATACAAAATTTGGAATCCTACATCAAAAGTCTTGTGTTGAAACACCTCAACAAAATGCTCGAGTAGAAAGAAAACATCAGCATATTCTACAAGTTGCTTGAGCAATCCTTTTTCATGCACATTTACCTCTGAAATTTTGGATTGATTGCATCCTTAGTGCAGTTCATATTATCAACAGAATGCCATCTTCTTCATGCATTCTTATTGGTCATCCCTTAGGTTGTAAAGGCTATACTCTTTACAATCTGGAAACCAAGAAAACAATTATATTCAGAAATGTTATCTTTTATGAAAGTGTATTCCCTTTTAAAAACAATTCCCAAAATGACAATTCACCTATGTTTCCTACCTCATCCCCTGATCTCATACATTTCAACTCACCATTACAATCTCAACCTTCTATACAAAATGTATCACAACCTACTACCAACCACATTTCACCACAACCTGTTAACAACAGCCCCCAAACAGATTCAATCACTATAAATGAAAACCATCAGACTTCAACTATCAGTCAACCTCCACATTCCTCCCCTATTCAAAGGAGAGTATCAACCAGACCTCACAAATTACCACCTTACTTGGATATTTATCACCATTCTTTGAAAAATCCTTCTTCAAATTATGTGAATACACTTTCAAATACATCTGGTACATCACAATATCCCATTTCCAATTTCTTGTCCACTTCTCAACTCTCTTCATCTCATAGCTGTTTCACTACTTCTATTACTACTGTTGTTGGACCTAAAACCTTTGCTCAAGCCAATATTGATCCTCTTTGGCAAGAGGCAATGAACAAAGAAATTCAGGCATTGGAAAAGAATAGTACCTGGCTACTAACTGAACTTCCTAAAGGTAAGCATTGCATTGGCTGCAAATGGGTATACAAGGTAAAGTTCAACTGATGGTACAATTGAGAGATACAAGGCTAGACTAGTGGCAAAAGGCTATACCCAAGAAGAGGGTATAGACTATTTTGACACTTTCTCACCTGTAGCTAAAATCACTACTGTCAGATTTATTGTTGCTTTAGCTGCTTTAAAACATTGGCATATAGAACAGTTAGATGTCAATAATGCTTTCTTACATGGAGAATTAAATGAAGAAGTCTACATGAAACCACCTCCTGGTTATATTCTTCCAAATAACAAACTTGTTTGCAAATTAACAAAAAGTCTTTATGGCCTTAAACAGACCTCAAGACAGTGGTTTCAAAAGTTGACCAGTTGTTTACTTCTTTATGGATTCACACAATCCATTGCTGACTGCTCCCTGTTCTACATGCATAAGTCTGATTCTACAACTATTTTACTTGTTTATGTAGATGACATTATTGTCACTGGCAATAATTTTGATCACATATCTGCTATTAAATCTCATTTGGATGCATGCTTTACTATTAAGGATCTTGGTAAGTTTAAGTACATACTTGGCCTTGAGTTTGCTCATTCAGACCAAGGCATACACATGTGTCAAAGGAAATATGCTATGGATATCTTGACTGATTCTGGTATGATAGGCTGCAAACCTGCATTAACTCCCATGGAATCCACTTTGAAACTTACTAATAACAATGCTGAAATTGAACACCTATCTGATCCAACTGTTTACAGAAGATTAGTGGGTAGATTACTTTATTTAACTATAAGCAGGCCTGACATTGCTTATTCAGTCCAATCATTAAGCCAGTTTATGTCACAACCCATACAAACTCACCTGAATTCAGCCTACAGGGTCCTCAGGTATGTGAAGAACACAATTGGTAAGGGTATTTTATTCCATAAGAGTTCTTCTTTAAATTTTTCAGCTTATTCTGATAGTGACTGGGCCTCATGTATTGACACAAGGAAAAGCATATCTGGTTTATCTTATTTTTCTTGGAAACTCACTTATTTCATGGAAATCCAAGAAACAACCAACAGTGAGCAAGTCCTCTGCTGAAGCAGAGTACAGAGCACTTGCATACACTAGTTGTGAGATTCAATGGTTACACTCTTTATGTCATGAACTTGGTTTTCCTCTTACTTGCCTTGTTTCACTGTTCACAGATAGTAAGTCTGCTCTAGCAATGGCATCAAACCCTGTTTTTCATGAAAGGACCAAACATATTGAACTAGACTGCCACTTGGTTCGAGAGAAGATAGCAAAGGGTCTCATTGAGCTCCATTACATCTCCACAAAGGATCAGATGGCAGACTTCCTCACCAAACCTCTCCCTGGACCTACATTTCAGAATCTCCTCTCCAAGATTAGCATGCCTAATATACATGCTACTCTTGCCGAGGGGGGAGGGGGGGGGGTAACAACATATAGAGGCCATATTAGTCTTTTACATTAAAAAGTGTATTTTCATCTATTTAGCACTTAGTTATCTCTGTACAATAGCAACTTTAGTAGACATCACATAGTATAAATATCACATATAAACCCTATTACCGATTCATTCGTTCATTTTCCAATTCAGATTTTTCTTTCTCTTTTCTCTCTCTACTGTTCTTTCTTCTTTTTGTTCCCGATTTATCATATTGACACAGAGCGAAAGCCCGTCGCCTATCGAAAGATGAACCAACTCGATGCGCTCATCACCCGCCAAAAACGCGTTCAAGTTCTTGAGGTGCATCCGATTTGGGCCAATTTTCTCGACCCACTCTTGGCCCAAGCCGCCCAACTCCTTGTTGTGTCCCGGCCCACAATGTGTTGTTGTAGGCTAGGATTCCCCCGACCTTAACCAGCTTCAGCATAAGCTCGTGGTAGTTAATGTAGTTTTTTTTATCCGCGTCTATAAATGCAAAATCGAATGTCCCTTCCTCACCCTAATGAATATTATTACGAGAAACAAAAAATGGTAAATATATATTGGATATAAGGTTAATTAATATTCATAGCTAATTTTATTTCAATTCATGAGTACATTTGTTGGTATTTCTCAACAGAGGCGTTCCTGAGTTGTTGGAGCTGTGGATGCTCTCTTGGGTAAGCACTTGTCTCCAAAAGGTACTGCAATATATCTATGTTTATTAACATGTACTTTAGAATTATATGGGTTATCATATATGAAAGCATTAATTGAAATTATATGGATATATATAGAATTAGCTAAATGAAAAGAAAACATGTACTTTAGAATTATATGGGTTATCATATATGAAAGCATTAATTGTTTATCAGAAGAGTTTATTTAATAGAGTTTTTTAGATCAAGATGCTAACTTCTCAAAATTCTAAAAAATCGGCTTTTCGGCTAAAAAGAAACCAGAATAAAACAATGCAATGTGATCGCTACGGGTGTAAAGAAGCTGATATGAGATCGAGCTTTTTTTTTTTAACAGATGATTTGTGGCATAAAGATTACACAGAAACTGGATTGCTGCAGAGAGAAATTTGAAAAGATATTCTTGTGAAGTTTCTCAAATAATTCTTGCTTAAGCTCAAGAAGCTGAGAACACAACTGCTGGACACTATAATTCACGAAAAAGGAAAAATATAAAAATAAAAGAAAGAATGGAACAATTGAGCAAATACATAATTTGTAGTTAAGTCTGGTACTCAGTCTTGCCAAAGTTTTTGTTTTTAAGCTGAAAGTCATTTTTTGTGTGCTTGTGTAAAAGACAACAAAAAGAGGTATATTTTCTATGATGATTTACAAAACAACCCATGGCTAACAGAGACAAAAACAAGTTTATTTTCATTATTCTCTTAAAAATGATCAAAAATAATAGTTGGAACATTATCTTTTTCATATCTTACATGCTCCAAGTTTTTAATTACTCAAAAGAAATCACTGTTTTTGTACTTAAATTAAACTCGAAGTTAGCTAATTCAAAGAGTGAGGTATAATTTCCTTGTTAATTAATTCCCAGAAGTATTTTCTTTTTTAAAGTTGGACATGAGAAAAGAAAAAAAATAAATTCTAAAAATGATAATTAGATGTCCTTGTTTTCAATTTTGCAACTTTCAAACGAAATAGGGAGTTTAAAAGGGTGCAAATACAAATATCATTTTTTCTTCTGATCAGAATTTTCCTCAGAGTCTGGAGCCTGCCCACAGGTACCCAATCAGAAGACGCCACGTCAGTGCCCGTAAGGAGAAAAGGGAACCAAAACCATTTTATTCGTTCCGCACCAGCCCCACAGGTCCATTTTATTCTTTAACCCCAAAAGTCCAAACAGGGGCTATTTTGGTAAATATCCACATGAAACCAAAACCATTTTATTCCACAGCGCTAACAGAAAACAGTGCCATCCCGATTTTTTCTTCGGTCCGCACCACAGGTCTTCAAACGCCCCCAACCAATGAGAGAGCGCCACGCCACGCTGCTCGCTGCCGCGCTTCTTCTCCTCATCCTGACGCCGGCGGCTGGAGGCGAGGACTCCGCCGGACGGCTGGAGAAGCTCTCGGGGATAATAATCCCGGGCTTCGCGTCCACACAGCTGAGAGCGTGGTCGATTCTGGACTGTCCTTACTCTCCGCTCGATTTCAATCCCCTGGATTTAGTCTGGCTCGACTCTACTAAAGTTTGTGATCCTATCATTTATGTTGTGTTACATATTGCTTAGCTTGAGTTTCTTTGGTTCAATTGTGTATTTTCTCTTGAATAATGAATAGAGGACCTTAGAATTCTCATATGGTGGATGAGTAATTGAGTATGTATGAGTTCTGGCTTGTGTACATGTTTCTATTGCGTTAGATATCAATTAGTTGATATACTAGCTGAGGATTCTGAATGATTAAGTTTTAGAGATTTTTTTTGGATACACATTATATGAAAACTATATTTGATAACATATAGAGTTTGGATGTGCATCGTAGCAAGGATGATGGCGGAAGTGGAAATATTAATGAAATGTTAATTTCTGTCAGATTTATAAGTTGATGCTAAATTATATCATTATTTTTTCTAAAAAAATTTAAATTGTACTTGATTTGATTTTTTTCCGTAAGTGGTCCAGATTTATTTAATTATGTGGTGTCTATGTACAACATCTTATGTCATTTGGGTATTATTTGTCCTTCCTGAACTGTTTCATGGACTAATCATGTATTTTTCAGCTTTTGTCTGCAGTTAATTGCTGGCTAAAGTGTATGTTGCTAGATCCTTATAACCAAACAGATCATCCTGAATGCAAGTCGCGCCCTGATAGCGGTCTTTCTGCTATTACGGAGCTTGATCCAGGCTACATTACTGGTATGATTTTAGGGAAACAGGAATGCAGTATCTTTACTTTTGCTGGAGGCATGGTCAGAAGAAACTTATATAAAAGAAGTTTCTCAATAGCCATAGTTCTGTTAATATGTTTATTGGTTTATTAAGTTATAAAGTTTAAGAGTAAGACTATGTTTGGCTGTGGAGATATTAGCTTACAGTGTCTATATTTATCCCTACATCCTTTCTAAGTAACCATAAATACCAATTTATGACTTTCTAAAGGAAATATTATGCTACTGACTGATGTTATTGAAGCATTTGATTAAATTAATAGCATGCCCTGGCATTCTGCAGGTCCGCTTTCGTCAGTGTGGAAAGATTGGGTTAAATGGTGCATTGAGTTTGGTATTGAGGCTAATGCTATAATTGCAGTTCCATATGACTGGAGACTGTCACCTGCCAAACTCGAGGAGAGGGATCTTTATTTTCATAAACTTAAGTAATCACTTTAACCAACTCTTTTCTGTTATTTCAAGTTCACTTTTTTGAAACACATCATCTAGTTTTTAAGTTTTGTAATAGCGACCTTTGAATGGATATACTGTAGTCAGCATATACAANAAAGGAAAAAAAAAAAAAAGTAGTGAATTTACATGAGATATATTTTCCGATCACAAAACCAGATTACATATATATGGAAATTTGCTCTTTGTTCTCTTCTTGCACTTTAATTTATCTTGCATTAACAATAACAAACAGTTTTTTGGAGGCATTTCAACCATGGTTGGATTTCAGGGTACCTCTCCCTCTGTACACGTGTGCGCGCTTGTGTGGTCATGTGTGGTTGTTAGTTTAATCCTCTTCTCGATATCTGAGTGTGTGTTGAGGGTTACCTTTGCTTTTGTCTTTGCACACTGATGAGAAATATTGAACTGATGCTCTTTGATTTTTGCAGGCTTACCTTTGAAACTGCTCTCAAGCTTCGTGGTGGGCCATCAATAGTTTTTGCTCACTCAATGGGCAACAATGTGTTTAGATATTTCTTGGAGTGGTTAAAATTAGAAATCGCCCCTAAAATGTATATCAAATGGCTGGATGAACACATTCATGCATACTTTGCTGTTGGTAAGTTTGTGCACTTTGTTTGACTGACAGATAATCATTTGGAACTATGTCACTAAATTTTAATGGACCTTATTTTGATTTGCTTCAGGAGCTCCTCTTCTTGGAGCAATTGAGACTGTTAAAGCAACATTATCAGGATTCACATTTGGCCTACCTGTTTCTGAGGTATTATATAACCCACATGAACTCAAAGTGACTTAATGTATGCAGATACATTTAGTTGATGCAAACATGAGTGATGCAATATGCATATTTTTTAAGATCACACTTCTTGATACCCCATTTTATCGCTATTTTTTTGTTCCTATGAACAGTTCCAGGGTTTAGGGAGGGAATCAAAGTGGCATTTTATGTTTCATAACTGAACCAATCTGTTTGATCATGAACTTCAACAATCTCCAAAAATATCAGTTGTTTGTAAAATAAGTTAAAGCTCGGCCAAGTTTGTCCTCAGAGTGTATCCTTTATGCAATGGATTACTATAAGGAGTTATAAGTTATATGATTCTTCTGTGGGTTAGATTGAGTTTTGACATTTTGTATTGTATGGATATAGGTAGAGGCCAAGATTTTGACTTCTTCTACTTTGTGTACCTGCATTTACTCCAGTTTATGAAAATAATTGGCAAGTCATCAGGGAACAGCTCGGCTGATGTTCAACTCTTTTGGATCTTCATTATGGATGCTGCCATTTTCAAAACATTGTAGAGTAGAGCATACATACTTGAAGCATTTCTCAGGCAAGAGCAAAAAGGGGAATCTTGCTTACGTTTGTGACGACCAGGAGTTTCAAGCAAACTATTCTGGATGGCCAACTAACATAATCAATATTGAAATTCCAACAGTTCGAGGTATGTGAGGCAATCATGTATGCACCATTGAATTTCACTGAGATGTAAGCTGCTTGAAATGCATGCCGGATTATGCTCTAATTCTATTTATTGCTTTGCAGGAGATGAAGCTTACCCTTCATTTATAGGAGCAGCACAGGCCAACTTATCTGATGTGGAATATGGGTTTCCGACTCAGTTGTCCTTTTCTGCTCGTGAAGTCTCTGATGGAACCTTTTTCAGAACTATAGCTGATTATGACACTGATAGTCAAAGAGTCATGTACCAATTAGAAGAGTAAGTTATTTTCTTGCCACCAGTGCTTTTGTTCCCTGTGTTAGTTTTTAAATATTTCTAAATAAAGCAAGAGATTCAACAGTCTTGTTTGGTCAGCATGTAACTTACACTAAACATATAAATGCAATTGGCCTTTCCTATTGACACTATGATCCTATTTCCTCTTATCCTTCATCCGACAATGGAAGTTATGTAAATGGATTGTCCTGTAACTCTTGTAGAGAACTAATGCCTGATTAAGCTAGGCATACAGTTTGATGTTTGGGTATGGATGATGCTGCTGCCGTCACACTCATTAACAACATTGAACTATTTCATCTTCCTGTATAACTTGAACTGTGAGAACAGTAAAAAATGCTTAATTGTGTCAACCATCCGCATAGTGGGGCCGTATCATAAAAGCGTCCTGTATCCTCAATTATCTATCAATGTCAGGTCATATCATGGTGATCCTGTTCTAAATCCTTTGACTCCATGGGATAGACCACCTCTCAAGAACATCTTTTGCATATATGGAATAGATTCAAAAACTGAGGTATTGTTGTATCACAATGATTGTGAAAATTTTAGCTGGTCATTTTTAGTTTGACGTTTAACTTTAGACATGCGATATTGATGATGCCTGACTTTTTGAACATGTCATCAACCAGGTTGGTTATTATTTTGCTCCAAGTGGGAAGCCGTATCCTGATAACTGGATAATAACTGATGTAATCTTTGAGGTAGAAGGATCTTTATATTCCAGGTAACTATTATTCATTTCAATGGCTTCCAGTAAATATCACGGATACCGTTCCCTCGAGTGGACATTTTAAACCTAAATGCTAAAGTAATTAATGAATCAATATAGTGCTAAAACACAAATGACATGATGAGGCACTTGAGTAGGGTGATATATATGGAAGGAAATGTTTTGGTTCTCTTATAAACAGAAGACTGAATTGACTTGAGAGGAGGCTAAATTCTTGAACACTTTTGGTTGAGTTGCTTTACTTATCAATACAGTGCATTTGATAATTGTTATTTGTTTAAATTTTCTTTTGGGGAGCCTCTTCACATGGTCATTTTGTGAGAAGTGAGGGTAGCGTCAGCACAACTTTGCGTTCTATCAGACAGAAACCTGGAGTTTGACAAACTACCTGAAACCATTATGGACAGCTTGAAACCATTTGTTTGCACCACTTGTTTTAGATTGCATTGTCTTGGGGATTTGTTGACAATGACATTTTGGTATATAATTATCTTGTATTTCACTAAATTAGGTCTGGGAACCTGGTTGAAGGAAACCCTGGTGCCACAAGTGGCGATGAGACGGTATGATAGGCATAGAGCAGATAGATATGTGTTTCTATTTGCTGGTCTTGGGGTAGTATTTTGTTCTATTATTTGTTACTTCTTTTTTCTGTTTAGCTAAATGATATGGTTCTGGTTTGAAGGTACCTTACCATTCACTCTCTTGGTGCAAGAACTGGCTAGGATCAAAAGTAAACATAACAAGGGCCCCTCAGGTGTTAATAAGTGAAACTATACTCTATATCTATGGAATTGATTTTATATAATTGAAACTATTATCTACTATCGATGTCAGATCTTTTTCCATTACTTGTCACAAATTTGTTGCCCACTTCTTAATGCTCCTGTACATCTCAAAAGTTAAAGTTTTGGAGATGCCTATAAAGTTTGAAATTAGAAATAAATATCTGTGTACTCAATGTTGTCCTTATTTTCCTGAGAATTTTCTCTCATCGTTCACCATTTTCTAGCAGCTCTGAACTCTAATCACGAAAATACATTGAAAGCTATTGTTGCCATTTTAAAAAAAGAAAAAAAAAACTATGATGTTACCTGACACCTGTTGTTATATGTGTAGAATGCAGTGTCAAAATATTTTTTTGATCGAAATAACCGAACTAGGATGTTATAAACTTCTTAACCCCCAACTGTGCCAAAAAATGGCAAATGAAACAATGCTCCCTTTTAAGTTGGTAACGATCCTTATGGTCCTTATCAGTTAGTTAAGTCTGTCATAAAGTGGCATTTCGAAGAAAAATGTTATAATAGGTTTCTAACTGGGAAGAGGAATCTATTGACAACTTGCAGTCGGAACATGATGGTTCAGATGTCCAAATGCAATTTGATGTTCACCATCAGCCTGAAATGGATTTAGTTCCCAATATGACTAGATCTCCCAGAGTCAAGTACATAACCTATTACGAAGACTCTGAAAGTCTTCCAGGAAAAAGGACAGCCGTTTGGGAGCTTGATAAAGGTAATTTAAAGTTGACTTTGCCTTACTTTGTTATGACTGAGGGTATGATAAGCTGAGTTACATATGAGTGCATAGACATGTAAATTGGACCATAGCTGCCTTGACAATTGACATGATATATTTAATTAAAAAATTCCTTTTTTTTTTTTAAGTTTGTATATCTTACCAATTTTGACATTAGCACGAATGACTGAGGGTATGATAAACTGAGTTACATAAGAATGCATAGACACGTAAATTGAACCATAGCTGCCTTGACAATTGACATGGTATGTTTAATGAAACTTTTTTATTTTTTCTTCTGAGTTTTATATATTACCAAGTTTGACACTAGCACGAACATTTCAGTGAGGTGATTGTCTTTATGTAACTCAGCTTAGCTTATGTAATTATACCTTTCATTCATCAGTTTCCTATTTTTATTGTCAGTTAATTTGTGATGTATCAATCGCAGCAAATCACAGGAACATTGTCAGATCTGCAGTACTAATGCGGGAGTTGTGGCTTGAGATGTGGCATGATATACATCCTGACAAAAAAT